ATGGGCTATAAAATATGTGAAGAATTAAAGAAGTACAATATATCTCCAAAGTTAATAAATAAAAACTACTTTCAAAAATAAGAAAGCATTGATACATAGTTAAAAAAATATGTTCCCTCAGAGGTGATCTACAAATTATTTACTTGCAGCTGGCCAGAAAGAAGGACACAATCCATCTAAGAATAACTGTTGCAGCCCAGACTCAAACATTTTTGCAGTCTACATCAACCAAGCAAGTGAAATTAAATTAATATATTTAAGTGAAAGAGAAAATATAAAAGCAACTGAAGAAACGAAATGCTTCTTATATGAATATTGGCAAACAAAGTCCATTGCTACTGGTGATTTAAACATCAAAAAATGCCTTCTTGGGCCGGCCCGGTGGCGCACTGGATAGTGCGCCGCTTGGGAAGCGCGGTGGCGCTCCCGCCCGAGGGTTCGGATCCCACATACGACCGGTTCCCGCTCACTGGCTGAGCGAGGCGTGGGAGCAACGCCGAGGGTTGCGATCCCGTTGCCGGTCCCCGGTCCGGTACGGGGGCAACACTGAGGGTTGCGATCCGTTGCCGGACACGGAAAAAAGACAAAATAATAATAATAATAATAATAATAATAATTGAATTTGTGTATAGGCCTTATTCAGCTTAACATTCAACATTTTACTGAGTGTTAGGCACTTTTCTTAGTTAAAAGGAATTTGGGGGTGAGTAAGAAACTGATAATGGTTTTAAGAAGTTTATAGGTAGGGGAGAAAAACACTTAGGTAAAAGAAAATACAGTAGACCTATACAAGAAACAGGAACAGCATTAAGAACATTTAACTGTCTGGGAGGAAAGAAAGTCAGAGAAGGTTTCGCAGGATGTAATTTTTAAGTTGGATTTTTAAAGGATGTGTAGGAATTTGGGTTAAATGGGGAGGATAGGGAGGGAATTCAGGCAGAAGGAATAGCATGAATCAGTAATAAGTTTAGCTAATATTCATTGTAGCTCACTGTGTGCCAGAGATAATAGACAAATTACAAATTTGGGGGCTGTGGGTGGAAAAGTCAAGCACACAAATTAAGAAAACCGCATATGCCACAAAACAGTTCCACATTACCTGAGGGTGTCCTAAATGATGAATTTGAAACTGGCTTGCCATTTTGCCAGGATAACCAGTGGTTGCAAACAAGTTTTCATTAATTGTGGACCATCTAAGAAATAGGAAAGCATAAAAATAAATACAGTGCCCTACAGATAACTTCAAGCTTTTCTGAACCAGGTTACTTCTTTTTGCACAATAGCAGTAGTTTTATAATCTTAAATTTGTTAACGTGGCTTTACAATTAGACTGGGAATTCCAGGTTAGTAGCTATAAATATTTTCTCATTCTGTAAATTTTTTAAAGTGCCTATTATGTGTCACTTCATTAATTTCCAAAGTTATGCAAGGTTAACACAGTCCCTTTCTTATAACCATAGAGCTAACAATATGGTGAGAGACACGGACAAGGCATCAGACAAAATATTCATAATACTACACAATGGAATATTATAAAAAATGAATGGAAAAAAAACCATGGTAGACATGTATTTTAAGTGAAAAAAAAAGTAGCATGTTTGTAGATATATATGATCTAGCATGTTCTCATTTAAAGAACAACAATAAAGTTTACATGAATAAACATGGGTCCCCTATATTTACACATTTATCAGCATAGAACAATAAGGAAGCATAATGTACTCCAAAATGCTGGGGTGGTACTGGTGGAGTGGCAACATGTTGTTCTGTGTTGTAAAAGCGTTCAAGGAAAATATTTGAAAAACAAATCAACTTCTTGTCTAGACAAAAAGACAAAAGCAAAGACTTAGTTGGGATAGCAAAATAACCACTTATAAAACAATCAGGAAAAAAAAAAAAATCCAGTGCAAAGGAGAGGACTGGGAAAGTATTCCAGTAGTGACATAGCACAATGTCAAAATATCAAATTATAACTCCAACAAAAATGGTACATTACCTGAATAAGTAGGCTCGATCCATGTGAACAGGTCTCTTATCTTGAGGATAACTAAAAGATAATATTTTGCATTTTATGTGTTAGATTCAAGTAGATAAAAGGTATTTTCTCTTTCAAGGACAGAATGCCCAATATACGTAAACTATAACAAAATTCCAAATAAGCATTCAGTTACAATAGATGAAATACAATAAAGACATGACTCAGAATCACTACAGAGCACCATCACTCAACAGGGTCAGTGTTTTTCTTTTTTCTAACATAAGTAAACATTGCTCAGATCAAAGATTTCTTTCTTTGCATTGTCCTTTCTGGGTTACTCCCGAAGTAAATCTGCAAAACATGATTGTTATATAAAAACCCATAGCTCTGGCCCTCCTACAGGAGGGACTTGTTTTCACTTTACAGTGAGGCTTATGTATACAAGGATGGCCCAATGGATCATTTGGCAATAGCTACTGATTTTTTGGTAAGCAATAGACACATATACTGAAGAAGTACCTGGACCTAGTAATATCCCAAATTAACCAATCATTTCCTGCAACAGCTCCAACTTTGAAGGTGTTTTTTAAGCACCAGTGTGCTGACATTAATGGCATTTGTTCTGATTCAAGAGACAAAATAGCCTGTTGGGCCAAAAGATCATAAAATCGGATTGTTCCATTCTTCTCTGCAACCATCAGCTGTAAGACAGAAAAATAAAAAGAAACTCAATTGCTTATCTTACTAGCTAAATCTGCGAAGTAAGCAGAGATTCCATGTTATGCACTAAAATGTAAATTACAAATGGAAGATCATATGCAAAGGAAATAAAAGAAGGTTATGTAAAAATCTCTATCAAATATAAAAACCTAACAGAAAACTTGCAAAAGAAAGACTCAAGAAAGTTAGGCACGATTTTAAGTCATGATATATGGTTACTAGCAAGAAGAGATCAACCTACAGATTCATTCTGAGAAAAGTTATCTTTGAGTTATGTTAATATGTTGTCTAGAAAGGACCACTAAGTATGTATCTCTCAACAGAAATATATTTAAGTGTGACACATTCTTATGGAATTTAAATTTGTGTCCAGAATGGAAGGCAGCATGGCATAGTTAAAAGAGCACAGATAGGCCTGGGTAGCAAGGCTGCTTCCTCCATTTAAATGCTGAATGCCTCTGCCATTGTGACTCGCAGCTTTCTCATTTCTAAAACGGAGATGTGAGGATAAGAATAGCTACAGGGCTGTTGTCATGATTAAGTGAATATTGTATATAAAGCATCCAGTACAATGCTTGACACATAGTAGCCACTCAATAAATAGTAGCTACTATTATTTCAGTCCTTTATTCTAAGATATCACTGATTTAAGTTGCTCAATAAATTAATCATTTTTATCTATCTATGAAATACTTAAATGCACAAATTAATTAAAAGATAAATCCCAACTTCACAAAATGAAATATTAGAATGTGAGAAAATTTGTTTCTTAGACTCAAGTGAGTATGGCATTAGGATACCCATTTGTGGGAGGTAAGATAGAGAGATTGCTGTGAATATCTAAGTGTATGAACAGTTGATGCCCAAACAAAATGCTTTGAGAAATTCTCTACATCTTCTGTAAAGTTCTTAGTTTTTCAGAATGTTCTTTTAATTCTGATTATATTACGGTGAAAACATCTCAGAAGATGTGAAGTAGTAGTGTAGACTGGAAAGAATGTGGGTCTTGGCATCAAGAATCCTGGGTTTTACCACTTAATTTGTTGAATGACCTGGGGGTTGCTTTTTTCTAATCTGTAAAATGGGGGATAATTATATTATACCTGAAAAGTTATTGTATGGTTAAAATGTGACTGTATCTAAGTACTTTCCTAAACCCATAAAACACCATAAAAATATTGTTACCATTCCTAACAAAACAGGTCATCTCTGGCTCTAGGCTTCGGGCAGTCATTCTATTCTTCTTCTAGGAGTCCTTTACGGAGCATCTTACCTGTATTTCTATGTATACACATTTTCACACACACAAACACAAACACACACACACATACACACAGTCAATTCTCATTATTCATGGTAGTTAGGTGTTATAAAGTTGCTACCAACACTGAATTAGTGAATATTGAACCATTGCTCCTATGGGAAATACAGGGTTAAGTTCCTGTGAGCCTCTCTGCACAACATTTTCATCAACTGTAACCTTGTTTTATTTTTGTTTCTGTTTAAAGATGCTTTATGCAATATATAGTTGATTCATTAACAATGAACTCACAGCCAACATGTGCTATATACCTCATGCCTGAACAAAGCTTATCTAACACATGTATTTTCTCCATAAGGTACATCACAGCCTTCTTGCACTTAGGGACCCTAGACTTCAGTACCATGCTTGGGGCTCATTTTATTAAGTGAAATCATCAAGAAAAAGCACAAAAATGTGGCACTAAATAGAACATGAAAAGGACACTTACAGTATGAGAGTTAAAAAAAGACTGCAGCATATTTCCTTAATGTGTGCATTAGCTGACTCAAATCTTTTCCTGCTCTGTGCATGTTGTGACTGCGAAAGTGCACTAAGTATTGATTTGGGGGTTATAAATAAATTTTAGTGAGTAGGTACATTCAAATCTATGAATAATGAGGATCAACTGCATACACATGCACACGTAAAACACAATGTTAATTCCAACAGAAGACATAATCCTTGATCTCAAGAAACTTCCCATCTAGAAAAGAGAATTATGAAAAAAACTGATCATAATTTGAGGCAAAATGCCCTGGACTACAAAAGAAAGAGGAATTATTACAGAATATAGGTAATCTTTGGAAGTATGAAATTCTTAATAGAAGAGGTAGAATTTAAACCTATCCTTTAATGATAGGCAAATAATACTAATACTGCTAACAATAAATACAGTGAGGCCAATGACAAATACACAACAAACACACGTACAACACCAAGATAAGAGCTTTACATGTCCCACTTTATTTAATTCTCAAGACCACTGTGTGAGAAAATTACTATCGTTAATCGCATATTTCAGATGAGGCTCAGAGTGATTAAAGTAACTTGTTCAAGATCTCACTCCCAGCCCATGAAGGAGCCTGCATTTGAACCCAAGTCTGTCTGGCTACAGAGTACATGTATTTCCTACTATAAAGCTAGACTGATGAAGACACTAGTGAGTGGTCTAGTGTGCTATAGTCTGGGATGGGGAGGGATTAGAAATGGGAGGAGATCGAAGATTTACTAGGACCTAGTAAAAACATTTGAGATTTTGAGTTTGACTATGAAAATTTTGAGGACTTCAGTTATAACTTGTGGACTATGGAAGAGCCACGTCTATATGAACCCAGGTCTTAAGACAGAAGGGACAGTAAAGCATCATGCGTAATAGTATAGCTTCTATAACCAGTCTGGTGGGTCGATGGGAAGGAGGAGTGGACCCATCTTTGCCTTCAGGAGCTATATGATTTTGGACAAATTACTTACCTTTCTGTGCTTCAGGTTCTCATCAGTAAAATGAGGCTAATAAACAATACCTACACTTCATAGAGGATGGTGTGAGTTAATACATGCAAAGCACTTAAAACTGTCTGGCATAGACTAGGCACTCTAAAACATTAGCTACTATAGGTTTAGGTCAGATTGAAAACTCAGTTCGAATGAAAAATTTTTTTGTTTTGTTATTTATTGTTTTTAAAACTATGCTCAATTGTGACAACAGACTTTTTTCGGTGAAAGAGCAGATAAAGTAAAAAAGTTAAGTAAGTTTGGAAACTGCTGACTCCTTTAGGACTCCAAAAAATGTTGCAGGGTGACTCCTTTAGGAGTTCTTAAAACCATAAAAAGTAATATGAACTGTGAGTTTCCAAGGAGGAAATACCTAAAGTAGCACAGAACAGTGTAGTACTTGAACCAGATTGAGTTCAAATCTGTGACTGTGTGACCCTGAGCAAAACCTTTTGGTGCTTCACTTTTCTCATCTACAAAATGGATAGAGTAAAGCTACTGACCTCAGAGTGTTCTGTGAGGATTCAATAAGAGAATACATGTAAAGTACTCAGCACAGTTCCTGGCAAAGAGAAAGCATTCAACAAATGTTTGTTGATAAACTGCATGTCACTTAGCTGCCCTCTAATTTCATGTTTTTTAAGGTCAGAGACTGAGATGTCCTCAGTCCCAATTCTTTGATCCCATGACATCCTAAACCCTTGGTTCTGTTATTACTACTCACTGAAATCCTAGGTCCAATTGAGGTTTACTGGATTTGAGAGCTTAGTTTCTAGAGGTCTCTTGATTTTTGTATCTTTTATTAACTGTTAAATGCCAGTATTTGTTTTGTGCTTCCCAGATTATATGGCTTTTGTGTAGTTTATATTTCATGTGATTTTCATAAGAATTCTATGGGATAGCTAATCATGAACCCATGTCTCTCCTTCTTCTCTGGCTGCCTCATTTTCATCAAGACCAAGCATAAGAGGACAAAAATTCTGGGTTTGATTTGATATGGCAGACAATGATTTGATATGAGAGCCACTCGATTGTTACAGTTATAATAGTGGCATCAATAATGACAAGCAGCTAAAATTTAGTGCTTACTATGTACTTTTTAAAGGACTTTACAAATGTTAACTCATTTAATCTTCATAAGTATCCACTCTACAAGATGAGGAAGTGAAGGCAGTGAATGAGAAAGTTTAAGTAATTTGCTGGAGATCACACAGCTAGTAAGTGGTGGAACTGGGATTTGACTCTAAGTAGTTCACTCAAGGGTCCATACTCTTAACCACTTCTCTGTGCCACTTTTCTATATTCTAGATTTCTGAGTTTAGTAGTAACATGACAAAACTAGTACTTGAAGAATATCAATCTAGTAGGCAAGAACGATCAAAGAGAAGAGAGCCAAAGACTTTAGAAACAAGCGAAGGTTTGGCAAGAGTTAGATATGAGACCAGATAATGGAAGAATGCAGCTCAATGAAGAGAGGAATGACTAGAGCTAGTGATAATGAAGGAAAAATTATAAGACCTGGAAAAGTTAGTGTATAGGAAAGGAAGGAATTAAAGGTGATTTTAGGATTTTGAGTTTACGTGATTTAAAGCAGAGACTTTCAAACGTTCTGACGTCATGGGAACATTAAAGAAGATGGGGTAGGGTGGAATTTTAATGATATATAGAAGAAAAATAGAAATTAAAGCATATGGAAGAAAGGGGTCAGAAATGACAATTAACAAATTAAGCACTAAGATATAAGTTATGGGATAGAGGTTATAATAAATGTTCTCATTTCTTATCTAGATCAGTTTTTTAGAAGCAGCCTATTGTAGTTATCTGTGGTGATATCAACATTTTGGTAAAATCCTTGACTATGTTTTAAGTAGACTCACTGCTGTAGAGGAGAAATCTAGGCATAAAACAAAATTTAGGAGCTGGATTCAGAAATAATACCTACACATTTAATATGAATAAATTAGAACATGTCACTTGTACACAAATACAGAGTATAATTCTACTGATGAAAGACCCAATAGACCTGGAACGAATTTCCATCGGATGCCAAGGTTCAGAGAACATACTTACATAGTTTGGGGACTACCTCCTCTGTGAAAGCTGTGAGATTTAATTAATCCTTCTTTATGTCATCATTCTACTTAACATATTTTATGATTCCAAACTTATTATCTGTATTGCTATATTTACATGTTTTTCTTCAAGTCAGTGTA